TATTGGTAAAGGAAAAAGAATGTGTCCATGCGCAAAGTTTGTACTACGATTTATTCCAGACTGGGTGGTTCGTAGTCCAAGTCAAGAAAATACAAAGTGCGATTGTGGTGAATCGTGTATAATTTTTATTCTCCTCTAGTCGAAACAGAAAGCCCAACAATCCTAGTTTTCGTAATATATGAAGAGTATAATTTAGGGACTGATTAGAAATAAACCACGTTACCCAAGTAATAATTGAATGCAACTTATTGTGAATCTGGTATCTGAATTTTATTTAAATGCTGATTTCATGATCTGAATTGAAACAAGTGATATTGGTTCATGCCTTCTTTTGGCAAGCTTATGTTCATGTATTCTGATCGTAAACTTTCTTTCAGTTTGGCTAACATAGTGTTTGTCGCGGTCGTTACAATGGAGTTCATAGATTACGTTCGTCCTCTTTATTGCATCCATTCTTCCCCTCGGTCCCGGTGGGGTTCTTCTCAGCGTGTTTACAGGCTTAATGTCGACCATTATTCCATGTTGCTGTTGACTTGTTGCGGTTATCTCCATGATATTTTTATGTACAGAGATGCCATCCTTCTTCGTCCTGGTTTTGTAAAACACACTGGCTTGGCTTTCATTTAGTAAGCATTTCCATATGAGTCTCTTAGATAGCCATTACTTTAGATTGCCCGATGAATTCTTTGTTCTTCCTTCTACTTCAACTGTTGAGTCACTGTGCTTGTTTAATTCACATTTAGTTGGGATACATTGCCAAAAACGGCGCACATTAATGATCAGACATTCTTGGCTGGAGGGCTTAGTTTCCAGCTACTAGTTGAGGGGGTGCGTGTTCGATGGTTTCCGGGGTTAGATGAGATGCGCGCTGCTGATAATTTCCACAGAGGAGAAAAAAGTTGAACATTGCTTTTTGGCCTTCCGGTACTGACTGACTTCAGTTGCAGGCCGAAAAATAAATTGGAAAGTATAGGCATCATTTGCTTCCGCCCGCAGGAGGTTTTTTGTTCAAAAACTTCCTTGACAAGCACTTTGAGTACTCCAGAAAGTTTTCGTGAGTTTGACAGGCGGCATATATGACTACATAACGGTAAAAGTGTCCTGATGCTTTGAAGACGCCAGTCTATGTGCCAGCCGTACGACAGAGGTACTCGTAGTCACAAATGCAGTAAAGAAGTAGACACTTACAATCCAACGTAAAGCAGTTAATTTTTAGACAACATGACCTCCAATAGTCTCGTTCAACTTTTCTTCAAGTAAATGAATTTAATCACATTTGAAAGTAATCTTCACGGACCGTGAACACAGCTGTCAACGAATATGAATTGGAGAATGTTTGGGATGGATGCTATTTCATTCAAATGAGCTACTTGTCAAATGCGGTTGGTAGGAACCACATTCTAGGTGTCTTTCTAGACAGTACGGAGTCTAGAAGTGGTAGACACCCTGAAGAAATCAGTTTTGCTCTCCACAGTTTCTCAGTGTAGATGCACTTGTTCTAGAAATTTACAGAAAGGAATCCGGACTACACAGGGGTTTGTCTATTGTTACAACAACGCAAGGGTCTGGAATTTTCTTACAAAATTGCGACGATACCATCAAACCGACTGGCTTATATTCTGGTGGACATTGTAGTTACAGGTCTCAGTGGGGATTACATGGGTTCACAGTACCGATCCTACAGAGGCTTTCGTGGTTGGGTCAAAATTTTGGGCTACACTGATTGAGCGAAAGGGCAAGAGTTCCTGATGGAAGCGTTTAGGAGAATCCGTCGACTAGTTTGGGGATAAACCTGCACACTTTGCCCATATGCTTGCTCTTATCCACCAGAATTCGCTCAAACAGTTATTCATACATTCACAGAGCAAAAAAACACTGGTCATGCAAAAAGAAGACTATTCAATAAAGCAAACCCAAAAGTTTTATCCGGTGCATAAAGAATAGTATGAGTACTGCAAAGTCGCAACTGAACATCAACAGGAAATCCAAAAATCTGCCGTGATGGTAAAAAACGAACCATGCTAAATGATTTACGCGGTATTCATTAAAATGGTGACACTTCAGAGAAGTCTTGACGTTCCTTCAATACACCAATAAGTGCATTTCCAAGTGAATTGTTGTTTTTCAGGTTTGAAGGCTCTTACTAAATTCCACGATCAAGAACTAGCCATCAAGCCAATCAGCAGCAGCAGACAATTCAGTGGCGAGATATAAAGGAAAAATTTCAATGGAACCACAGACGCCTAAATGCAGTGCTGAATCGCGAAGCCGGAGTAATCGATAAGTGAGATTCAGCTAATGCATCCAGTCCTAATAAAAAAATGATGAACTGGTGCCAAAGAGATAAAGATATTTCTAAAATTTGTAAGAAAATATGTAAATATGTGATCAAAATATGTAGGCAAACCAGAAAATTTTCAGCTAGAAAACTGCAGACAACAGTAACACAATGTTTTTTGTGAAGATTTCGTCCTTTAAGGGAAGCCAATCTATGCTGAAAATTCGAGAAGCACTGTACAGCTATTTCATCCTTATTGGGAATCACCAGCAGTGCGTATCTCACGGAACTCCGGAGGGTCTCGAACCCGCGACCTTCTGGCTAGTAGTTTGAAAACCGAACCATTCGGCCACTGGCAGCTGATCAGCAGTGACACAGCAGTATGTGTAACACAATGTCTTTGCTTCAGTGCCAAAGGTAGCGAAAAGAGTGAAGTGTATCCGAGATGATACAGACCTTCTGGTAGTAGTTTGAAAACCGAACCATTCGGCCACTGGCAGCTGATCAGCAGTGACACAGCAGTATGTGTAACACAATGTCTTTGCTTCAGTGCCAAAGGTAGCGAAAAGAGTGAAGTGTATCCGAGATGATACAAATCAGACTAATTTTTTAGGAGAAGGACGTTCAAGTACAGTGGTCTATGAACAACGATGCAAGGAAACCAATCTGACGGGCAACTCATGTGAACGGAGAAGGTAGACTCATCCTACCGACCGTCAGCGGTAGATGTTGTTGTTGATGAAGGCGAGTTCACGAAAGTGATAATACTTGAACTCAGTCAAGAAGGAAGCAGAGAAAATGTAGTGTTTTACAAAATGCGCCAATTATTGCTACTCATTAAACTCGCGTTGTTTTAAATTACCTTGCATCAAAAGCGTTACGACTTTATCTGCGTTAAATCCCCAAAAGGAATCTTGATATGCTTTTTCTTGTGACATTGTTGGGGGAGGGTTCATGGCTGTTCAGTTGTGAAATTATCCTCATCAGAGCACCACTGTAGGCCTGAGCAATTCCTGAGCTCCCACCAATACAGCCCCAAATTGTAAGCCCTAGAGCCACGCACGAGAAAAATCTCACCAATGTGCACATCTCAAAGAAAATGCAAATGCTCATAAGATCAGAATCCGTGTGTTTAGACCGCCGCCTAGGTTTTGGTCCATTACTACCTATCAGTGGTTGTGGCATCTCTTTGAACATCCTGTTCTTGAGCAGTCGATCGTTTGCTAGAGAGGTTCTTGATCCCGCCTCGTTGTTGGTGGTGATGGTACCATTTTTGTTGTTTCTGATGAGTCTTAAAAACTTGGTTTCTAGAATAATTCGCTTCTTTTCCGCAGCGGACATAACTCTGCGTTCGATGGCTATACTGAGTACTTGTAGTAGAGCTAGTCCTATCGTTCTCAAACAAGTTTCCCTTTCTTCCGTGGCGATCCGCGCGTACCTCCTAATGCGGTTATGCGCATCCGTTATCATGAGTCTAACCATCCGTCTACCGTTGCTTCTTGCTAGCGCCCAGGCCTGGGGATGATTGATCGGAGGTCGATAGGTTACGCTACGTGGTAGAATGTGACTTCGCAAGCACTCGTCAGGAAAACGCAGCTGTTGTCACGTGGAGGCTTTTCGGCAGGCGAAAGTCTCCCATCGACGAGCTGTTCTGAGCGTGGAACGCCTGAAATTGTTGGCAATGTGTTGGAATATTGGTAGCTCGAGTGTATTGGTTGGTAATTGATCAGGTGGCTGTTGATCTGTTCGTCGAGCTTGGCAATTGATTTGCAAACGTTTCGTCACCATTCGAGGAGACATCTTCAGTACGCTGTTGGTTGGGTAGTTACTCTCTTCGTGCCTGCGTTTATATAGTCTACAAAGAACAGCCTTTGCACTGTAACCTGGATTCTGATTGGCCCGTTCTTGATCTGTATTGCGTCGTGGTCAGCTTCTCTGTTGGTTTGTGGCGTGCCTCCTATTTTTAGTAGCTTGCTGTTCTATTGATTTCTTCTTTGAGTTCTTGTTCGGTCTCGGGTTCTGTGGTCCTGGATTTCCTTTATCCTCAGAGGCTGGTAGGCAGGATCAATCTCAATGCGCCTGTTTATTGCTCCATCAGTGGAGTACCACGCCTCCATGAACTCGCGTTCTTTCTTTGTTCTTGCTTGGCCCAGTATTCTTTCCAATCGAATGGTGTCCTTCCCCATCTTCGTGTGCAGAGATGAGAGAGAGTTGTTAATGTATCCTGGTGGAAAGTAGTAGTATGTTGAGAAATTCGAGTTCTCTGGTTTATGGCAAACGAATCAGTTGGATACAGAACCATTCCACCCTCAATTTCACAACACCCGTCAGATATGTGTGTATGACACTCAGTATTTGAAATCCTAGTGTTGCAAATTTGATGTTACGATATTTTCAACTGAGCTGACGGTATGAAATCCATCTTTGTCACAGAGACGTGGTTGTTCCTGGAGTTTATTCCATATACCAAGCATGCTTACATACAAGACTGTATTCCAACATGCTTCGACCTTACTGAGAGTATTTGCGTGGGAGAGACCTTAGAATATCATCTGTCCGTTTTTTCGTTGGCTTCCTTTGTGGAGAGTACTTCCGCGTGCAGACTGAGGCAAGTAAGAAAATGTCTATTTTTGGCAAAAGACAGGACTCCGGTGCCAGTTCCTTATCTGATAAAAACACACGCAGATGAACTGTCTCTTACAGGAAATTGTTCTGGAGACGAATGGGAAACTTCCGCCTTCCCAGTCTAATCGGTCATGACAAGCAGGAGTATGACACGCCGCCAGATGATTCCAAAATCCAACTGGTCGCAGAAACCACGGTTGCGATCTCATACGCCACCTTTACAAGCCCGACAAAGATAACACCTAACTTGGAGGGTATAGCCGGTGGATTTAAGGCTGATACCACCGAGATGATGGAGGGGTTAAATGTAGAATCGTTGATTCAACGTGTTACTGCTGCCAACTTTGTGACTGAGCTTCCACGCGGACAAGAATTCTACTCTTCATATCAAACGTTTAGCTAAGCAAACCGGATAAATATGACTTCATATCGAATATGTCCGCTAGGGTGAAACAATCCAACATAAGCCTATCCTACAGAAGTTCCTGTCGTCAATACGCTTGCTGAACCAAAACGGTTTAGGCTTAATGTCTTCAGAAATAATATCAAATTAAGCTGATCCTATACTTCAACGTTGCATAATAAATTAGCACATCAGAGTAAAGGACATTCATGTTGAAATGCCGATGCTTGATATCTATTCATGGCTCGCTGTGTGATACGGGCTTCTAGTGTTCAACGAAATAAAATCTGATGCTGGCGTCAAAACAACCATTGAGAAAGAGTTCTGGAGAATTCTGTAACAGCTATTGAGCAGTTAGTCAAGCATAATAGAAATGCAACATGCAACATGGGCAAGGAATTAGGCAACCAATTCCATGATTACTTAACCCTCCAGAAGGGATAAATAGTGGATAAGATTTTCCTATCGGACGCTGGGCCAAGTATCTCAAAAGCCGAATGACTGCGGAAAGTACATAGCCTCAGGAAATTATGGCGAAAACAAATTTAAAGAATGCACGGCGTACGTGTTAACATGTAGTGTGCCGCGGACAGCTTAAATACAGTGCGCTGGAAAAGAAAAGTCGCACGTGGTTTAAACGAGTGTTTTGGTACAGTTGAAACAACTATATGCAATACATGCCACAAGTGGAACACAACTTTTAAAACCTTACTTCTTCTACCCAACTTCCAGTGGAGTGCGGGCTACCGGCGTGCTCAAAATGTAAGAAATTCCCGAACTTGCAGTTTTTCTAAGTAGAAAGGTCGGCTACAAAAATAATATCAGCACTGCGAAATAGCATTCATGTCGCTAGTCACCTTAAGCTCACTCTGTTAACCCTGGAATTCTACTACAAAGTCCTGCTGAACCACGGTCCTGAGGAACGGAAAGTTCTAATGGTTGGTATCGCTGTTTAAGCATCCAACTCTGAGTACCCCAGCCTTCTTCCTCACCAGATGAATCTGCGAAGTTTTCGTACGATCACCGAAGGAGTACGCCGAAACAAACAGCCCAAGCTGACTTCGAATTACTATGTTTGAATGGTGAACAAATTCTCACCTTATTAATACGACTGGTTTTCCACATGCTTCGAAAGACAAGTAGGTATTCATCCTGATGGTATCCGTTGACTGACCCAACCTACTTGACCTCCTAGTCAGGACAAGCCGCGGGTGCTTGAAAGCTGCTGCATGCGCTGGTAGACCAGCGGTAACACGCTTGCTTTACATATCGAAAATTTTGAGTTTAAACTCTAGCACCGCTAAGGATATGCACTACTGTGTGACTCTGGTGGGGTAAACTCATATCCAATGCTTCTCACTTTTGGTGTAAACTCAAAATAATAACTGCACCAGAACAGAAGGAGGGCCTTTCCAATAAGAATAAGGTGAACGTGAATTTCAACGAGTTTTGCCTGCATATACTTTTGCCATGTAATCACAAGTACTCACCCTTACTGAGATATTCTGCTTGTTTGGATCTTGGTTTTGATATCCGACGTATTGAAATCTCGGTTAAGAACAAGAACTCGTAACCAAGCGATACGCAATTCTAGCCGAATGTGCGCACCCCCTAAACCCCCAGGTCACCGTCGGTGTAAAATCTTTGCGCACACTTTATTGGAACTGAACAACCTGGGTCACGTTTGCTGCACTTCTGTCAAGCGGTTTGGCACATGATATTTGCGGCATAGGGTATTTCGGATAGTGCGAGAGGACTAGTCACGAGGAAAATAGGATAATACGGTATGACCCGACTACAACGTACCCACTAATAATTATACGTTAGTTGCCGATTATGATTGATGTTTGTAAAGCTAACGGAATGGACGAATGCTGTTTGGTTTGGTACTTTGTTGGTATGGCCGATTCGTTGACTATGCATGCACCCTTAAAGTCGCGAAATCAGCTCCGTCAGCGGATAAGTATCCTACTAACGGGCCGTCCAATGTGACCTCTTGAGAAAGTGGTGCTGTCAATGAAGAACTATTCCTGGTTTGAAGTTTTACGGCAAATTTCTTTCCTGAAATGCTAAGAAACAACCGCTAACCAACCGCCACACAACACTACGCTCCCCAACAACGCACTGATGATGTCACCTCGATTGGTGATGAAACGTTTGCAATCAAATTGCCCAGCTCAGCGAACAAGCCAACGACGTTGAACCACATTTTCTTAAAATTTTAGCTCCGAAAGTGTCAATAAATTGTAACGTATTTACGCGTAGGGTGTAGAGGCACCAGAATGTAGTTTAGCAAATTTCGACTAATATAAAGAATAATGTACGGGTTGTCCGCGTAACCTGCCTCTCATTTACCTCTGATAGTTGTATAGATGTGGCAGTCAGTATACGGGTAAATGGGATAAATTGTCATTCATTCTAATTGATATGAATCCAGCGGATAACATATACTCCGTTTGTTGAAGAGTTTAATCCATACATGGCAATAAAAGCAAAGCTGAGTACTCTCTAGTGACTTTCCAGTGGGTCCCATCATTTTTCCACAAGTCTGATTGTTGAGTATATCCGTTGTTCGCTGAGGACTGCTTCACTTGCAGTCGTTATTTTGGGGATCGATTTGATTTGGAATTTTATAAATTATGCATCAAGGAGGGGAAATGGTTCTTTTGGATGCACAAATGCATGCTACCAAGGCAACTCTGAAATATGCAGGATTTAACACCTGGCAAGCTGGACTAGGTGTACCCACCTAACTGTAGGTCCCAACAGAACTGAAAACTCCAGGTAACAAATTACTCTACCAGGACAACAAAAATACGCAATTCCGTGGACAGATTAATTCGCCATCCTGAAATCCGACCATAAAAACCTGGTAGAAATTGGGTCCTGCGTCTCCAATTTTAGTTGCCTTTCGCTTTCCGCGCACCCTCTGCATTCTGGGCTACTTAGCCATCATTCTGAAGCAGTGGTCTGATAAACTTTGAGTTAGGTCCTTTGGTGAGGTTTCAACGCATGATTTTAACCTTTGAGTTCACCTTCTCTATGGAGAGTTTGTCATCCTTTACCAATTATAAAAACATGCACCGTTAAGCCAGCGGTCTCGAGGTAATGCAGTACGTTTTGAATCATTCAAGGCTATCACTGATGCATCTAGAACAGGAGCAGATACCAAAGATTTTGAGATGCCATTGAAACTCTTAACGAGTGGTTTAATGTCCAGTTAGAACTTTGTGAGAGAAAAAATAAGTGTTGAATGAATCCACAATTCGGAAAGCAGGAATAGATACCGAGTAACTTATTGAATTACTGGGGTCTAGCAAATCAAGCCAAACACAAAGATGCAAAGTGGAATCGTTTAATATCAGTTCATAAGGTTTCGCTACTGAGCACAGCTTTGTTTAATAAAGACTTTTCTGTAGTCCTGTCGGGGATTTTTCATAATCGTTTAGATATTCTTACTATGTTTGCAGCTGGCTTGTTGATACAGAATCAGGAAATTTATAACACGATTAAGAACAGATCATTCTGTAGTCTGAAAACGTTTGAGCAGTAAGACACATATGGAACGACAAATTTAACCACAATTCGCTGTGGGTGATGTTTCACTGAGCAGTCGGTCATTTCCTTGGTGATAGGTCATTTCAGCAAAATTTAAGTGCCGCGTGTTGAGGCAAAATTAACGTCTTTTGATTAAATTTCCAGGATTTCCACCTGATGTGCTGCGAGAAGCACTCCAACACTTGGAAGGTAGGAGCATGATAAGATGAGCCCATGTCAGTCACCGTTTTCACAATCCCCGACGTATCTCCTCGGGCAAGAATGTCGTGGAACTGTGAATTGGTGCCTACACCCACTCACTGGGTTAGCCAACAAGAGTTATGTCAATGAATTTTGACCCACTTTCCTTCACGAGAGACACTCGCATACGGTGGCTTCCTTCCTCAAGACGCACAAATTTTCATTTGTATGATTTGAGAAAAAAATCCCAGGCGGTTTAAAATAATATCCCGTATTACCGAACAGATGGTGCTGGTTTGGGAATGGGATGAAATAATAGCCTGCATGAGTGTAATACAATGCTTCCGTTGAAACTGGCCAGCGTACTCACTTTGACGATAAACTGAGAGATTTCTGTCAGCATTAGGCACAGCTCATCACCTTTTAATACGTATTATAATCAACGTTATATCACCACTAAGTGAACCTTGCTGGAGGCTTTTCCAATGGAGCTTGGATCTTCTAAAACAGCAAGTAATGTGTAGAAGTCACTGCTCTGACGCTAGCGCGCAGTCATCTGGAGTGACGTACAGTTCATCGCATCCGGCGCGATAGCACATGAAACGTCCCTTTGTTTAACAACTCCAAACATTCTTAGCGTTATTCAGCAAACGACTGAGATGGCGACAAGTGTCGCCCATTAATTCATTTAGTCATGTCGTTATTAGGCTTACACAAATAAAAAGACTAGAGGGACAGGCAGTCGACGTGCATGGTTTGTTTGAAATCCTATGATGAACATCATAATCGTACGCACCTGACGAAATGCTACAGCGTTGGACTGCAGCAGCAGAAGGTGATTTCAACTACTTCCTGTGATCGTAATTGATCTGTCAGAATATCCAAATTAATTACTGCTAGATGATAGTCAGTCCCAAAAACAATCAAGGCCTCCAGATGTGTTTGCTCATAGCCTTATTCAGAAGCCTGTGGCAGTCGAAAAGTCAGACAACCTTTCCGCTCTAGTGTGAGGTCAGTGATGAGTAGGAATTGCAATTTTTGTAATAATGGAGCAGAATTCGCATACAGGAAAGTAATAGGCAACCCTGAGGCAACCCTTATCATGATTCGGCCAATGACAGGCTTCCTAGAGAGTAATTTAGAGAAGTTACTTGCCCTTTATGCAAAACATAACACAAACCGATCGCTGAGGCGATTGGAACCCGACTGCTGGATGCGCAACTTTGCATTCAAAAGAAACTTGTGCGACCTCTGAACTTGAA